CTGCCTCGAGGCAACTTCCTTGCTCTGACTGTTTTCTGACAAATGGAGCCATCGTCTTGCTACAGTTCTCGCCACCAATCTCTCATCTTATGGTCTCTTTGATAGTTTCTAAAGAGCGGTAGAAAATAAAAATCCCACCACCAAACCTGAGTCCTTGCATATTTTAAATTAAAGGGGAATAAAACCTGGATTGTACTGCTAAATAAAAAGACGTGATACTTAATGAATGCAGGTATACCTCAGATGACAAAGTGACACCATCAGTTACCATACTCACTAGGTGACGCCAACCCTAGTGTTGCCACTGAATGGGGGAATTTGGGACTCGCCAAGGGATTTAGGCCAGGGATGTTGCAGAACTGCAAACAAAACTGTTAACTAGGGAAGGTTGCAGAGACCAAACTATGCCCCTGTTGTGAAGTTGTAGGCTTTCATGGCCGGCATCCATAGTTTTTTGTGGGTTTTTCGGGCTGTGTGGCCATGTTCTAGAAGAGGTTCTTTCCAGCATTCTCTGAAGATGCCAGCCACAGATGCTGGCGAAATGTCAGAAAGAAACTCTTCTAGAACATGGCCACACAGCCCGAAAAACCCACAAAAAACTATGCTCCTGTTGAAACAGCTCCACTGGCAACCAGTTTGTTTCTGGGCACAATTCAAAGTGTTGGTTATATCCCATAAAACCCTCTATGGCTCAGGTCCAGGCTATTTGGTAGACCATATCTCTCAGTGATGCATCTAGGCCCTGAGATCCTCAGGTGAGGCCCTTCCCTCCATTTCACTAGCATTGCAAACATGGTTGGTGGGGACACAAGACAGGACCTTCAAGGTGGTTGCCCTAGATTTTGGGGCTCCCTTCCTGAGACTCCCAAAATCCCCAAGGATCCCTGGTGGGGCAGTACTTAAATGCTGGTCCTGCATCCACAAGGTTGTGAGTTTGATCCCAAGCAAGGCTCCAAGGTCAACTCAGCCTTCTATTCTCATGAGATGTTCACAAATCCGAGGATTCAAATCTTTTAGGAAAATCGGGGGGGGGGGAGGATCTGACATTGATTATCTTGGGTTAAGTGGGTTTTTCCATAATCTCTCCCCCACCAAAAAAACTCTTAATCAGATTCATTTGAAATGCATATAAACAACAAAGATTCAACTGAAATTCTGGATTATTTTCACTGAATAGCCCCATAACTTTCCCCATCCTCTGGCAGTTTTCTAGCTAAGGCTTGGTCTAGAGATGTGTCGCTGTTCCAAATCTCTGCTCTTTTCCGCTATTAACATGGTGTGAGCTGCATGTCATAATGTTTGTAATTTAAGATAAGGAGAGGACGCTGTATTGTTGGCCAAAAAGAGCAAAGACTTGGAATGACTACTGACGACAAAGTTAAGGAAGAAAGTGCAAAAGCAAGGGTTACGGCTGAATGTTACGAAAACAAAAAATGAGCACAGAAGATTTACAAAGCTTCAGAGTGGGTCATTTTGAAGACATCAAAATGGTTGGAGATTTTTTCTGTACCTTGACTCTGTCCTTAATCAAAATGGAGATTGTAATCAGCAAATAAGGAGGAAGAGTCCTTGGAAGGAACGAGATAAGATCCTCAAGTCTAAAGTATATCCTTAAATACCAAAGTAAGAACCATCCATGCCATAGTATTTCTGATTTCTGTGTCTGGATGTGAAAGTTGATGCTAAGCTGATAGGAGGTTGGGTCTATGTGTGATGCTGGAGGAGAGACTCATAGATAAAGCAGAAAGACAATTAAATGGATTCAGGAGCAAATCAAGTGTGAACTCTGCTGAGAAGCCAAAATGGCTCAACCAAGGCCGGCAATACATGGGACATAGTAGGAGATCGCTCATTGGAAAAGGCAATAATGCTGGATGAAATGGCAGGCAACCGGAAAAGAGGATTGCAGGTAGATTGACTTGATCAAGGAGTTTGCAAGACCTAAATGAGGCTATGGATGAGGAACGATCATGGAGGTGGTCTCTCCATTCACAGGGTCACCATAAGTCAAAGGTGACATGACAGTGCATAACAACGAACTACGGCATGCTTCCTTGTCATGTCGACATCTCTTTTAGAATCTGATTCCTAAATCCTAATGTTAGTCCCAACTAAAAGTGAACCCGTGGAATCAGTGATGGCTTGCTAAGTCAACACTTACCCACACTGCAGGATTAAAGCAGTTTGGCACCACTTTAGTTGCCATGACTCTATCCTACTGAATCCAGGGATTTGTAGTTTGGTGAGGCACCAGCGCTCTCTAACAGACCAGGCTCAAAATCCAGAGTTTTGCTGCTAGAAAGGTATTCACCGGTATGCTTACCTTTATTTTCAGACTAAGTATTGTTACAAAAAACAGAATCAGAAGGCAGGTTTGAATACAGCCTTATGTACTGAAGAACTGAGTGGATGCAACTGGAGGAAACGGGGATGTGTAACCCAAGGGATTTTTGGCACTTGGAAAAAATGCCGTCCTAAAGTCATAATTCTTTAGTCAGATCATCAAAGGGCCTTTCTTTGCCAGAAATGTTTGGCTCATTGGCTCCTTCCTGTTTGGCTTGTGGCTAAATAAATGGATACCATTGTGGGGGGAAAGCTCTCTCGCAGACAGCCTTGTGACAGTGAGTGGCTTTGATGGCCACTGGCACTGTAAATCTGCTCATCTCTTTTACAGTTCAGACTAAAACCCAAAGCAGTATCACTGTGCTACTGACATGCAAGCCATCAGCCATGTAGCACTATGGCTCCCTTTTACCAAGGATGTGTCCTGTTGACTCCTGGGGCTTTGTGAGGCCCTAGAAAACTCTGGCTAAGAATCCTACATCCTTCTCCCTAAACTCCAAATCCCAGGACGTAGCCATGACGCTTAAAGCGGAATCATAGTGCTATAACTGGGTAGTGTGAATGGGCCCAAGGTCCCAGCCCTGGCTGCTTTGAAAGGCCAATGAATGTACCCAGATCAGTTTTCTTCTCATCCATGGGATCTTTTTTTAAAAAATGGGCTCTGGCCACCCATTGTGCCAAGTTACGAAAGAGAGAAAAACAAGCACATTGCTTTGCTAATCCCAGAGGTTTGTGGTTTGTTTGCTTTTTTGGAGAGAGGGGGAAAAAATCCATACCCCCAAGCTTTCTTTTTCTTCTCCCCAAAAAGAGAGAAGGGGAAAAGAGATGAGAAGCATTTTTAAAAACCACCTCAAAAAGCATGCTGGTTTATTTCTTGTCAGCCATCAATGTTCACATCTGAGGAGAAGGATCCTATTTAAAATAATAATTTAAAAAACACAGAGCGATGCTTGACTAGTGAGTACAAAAAAACAAACTCATAAGAAAGTCCCCGGGGAAGAGATGAAACCCTGATCCAGAAACAGACCAAACTTAAGAAAATAATCCTCGGCCGACCACAACCTTCTGTCAAATTGCTAACCGCTCACTAACCTGTCTGGTTCTATAATTAAACCTCAGTCTCAGGTTTTTCATGTGGGTTAGGCTGGAGGCATTTTTTGTTCCAAAAAACGGAGCTGGTTTTGCTTTTGCTTGCCTTGTGTACACTGGTCTCCTTTTGGATAGCAAAACCCTTGTAAGCAAGGACTCGTGTTGTTTCAAAAACCTGTTTGAGCAGAATTGGCACAAAAGACACCTGTGTATTTACCGGAGAAGAACGTGGCAGAGATTCTACATCACTGTTTTTACGTAACTTTATGAATCCGTAGTGACTTGTGAAGATGCACATCCAGGCACTGGGAAGGGTTTTCCAATGTGGATTTGGGTGCTCCCATGCTTCCGGTGTGCATTTGACACTTCTGATGCACATGGGACACTTCTGGTGTGTATCAGACACTTCTGATGTACATTAGAAACTTCTAATTAACGTTATAAGTGTCTTAAAAGATTGAGTTACCAACAATAGAGGACAGAAGAAAAAAATTCCAGTGACTGTAGAAA